ATTTTACAGCACAATCAAACAAAGCAACTAAAATACCCAAAAATAACCAGCAAAAGCAGATAGGATTTTAAAATTGAAGATATTTGAATAAGTAAAAGCTTAATGACTTCAGGCCGAATTTTTTTTTGCTCTTTGAACTTGGTCCTATCCGTGATTTGTTCTCCACTAGACTTATAAATAATACAGTTTTTTGTTCATTTTTTTGTGCCCCATTTTTTTTTTTTGCTTGGGGTCATTATTAGGGGGGGGGGGGGGGTCCCCAAGGGGGGGAACTTTGGGGGAACTTTGGGAAATCCCCCAAGATTTTGAATTTTTCCCCAAAAAAAATTTCCCCCCAAAACCCCCCAAAAAAGTTCCCCAAAAATTCCCCAAAATTATTCAAAATTATCAAAATTTTTAAAAATTTCTCTAATAACTTAATACCCATTAAGTTAACTGTATGTTTTTTTTAAAAAGGTATAATCTTACTTATTTGTTGATATTTTTCAGCATGAATTTCCCAAAAATTTTTTTTTGGGGAAAAATTTTTAAATTTTTTTTGGAATTGGTAAATTTTGGAAAAATCCTTCATTTTAATCCCAAAAAAACAATTTTCAAAAAAAAAATCTCAAAAATGTCCCCCGAAATTTTACTGAATTTTTTGGAATTAAAAAAAATTTTAAAGCATCCCTTTTTTGGGAAACCCTTAATTAATTAAAAAAATTAAAAACCCCTTGCCCCCCCCCCTAATACTGGGCCAGTTATTTAATCTCATGGGAACCTTTGCATGGTAGAGCACAGCAAGGCTGACCTAGACAAAGCTATTTGTCTATGCTACTCAAAGAGGCGTGGTGAAAAGTTATTTTGACACCTGACAGCGATATTGGACAAGCACTATCTGGACAAGCACTGTTTTTTACCTCTTAAACTTTACCAAAATACAAAAGTTTGTCCAAAATTAAAGAACGATTCCAGAAAGTTGTATTGGGTAACTGAGAGTTCCCAAAAAATGTTGCCCTACTCCAAAATCTTTGGGTTGCTCTTCGCGTTTCCATGGTTACGGCCTACCGAGACGGCGCATGGACCCATAAATGCCATAACATGAGAACTATAGCACCTAGACAATCGAATAATAGCTTAAAAGATGCAAAATGTGAATGTTTAATGTTTATATTCATCTTATTGATCAACTATGTGTCTAAAATATTTATTTAAAAGGTTATAGCGAAAAAAAGTATAATATATACTAAGCTTATTATTTTTTGGTTACGTTCCAAATCAGACAACAAGTTATTTATGTTTTACACTTAGTTAATGTGGTTATACAACTTAAAAAAGCGATCAATTTACTATACTCTAGTAGCAGGGAATAGTTGAGTGTGCACTTCGATGTACACGATTTCTGACAACACAGGGTTGTTTGTTAGATCATTCTTAACCAAAATCGTTTAGGTACGCAATTTGTGTCGCTAGACATAACCCTACAGGGCAAATTTTCTAAATTACCCTCAGTCGCATATACGGGATTTTTGTATTTCAGCTCCTAAAGGTCATAGAGACTTGAATTTTAGCTTAAAATTACCGCAATGGCTACATTTATATACAAGTTATGAAGCAACATAAGGTCTCCGGTGCTTCGTTTTATAGATATTGACAAAAAACTGTTTTTTATCTCAGCGAACCAAAAATGGCACTGAATTTTGATAACTTGAACTAGGAAGGTCGTAGAGACTTGAATTTTAGCTTAAAATGACCGCAAACATCATATTTATATACAACTTATAAAGCAATATAAGCCCTTTAATGCTTATTTGTTGAGATATTGACAAAAATCAGTCATTTTGGCTACACGTGTGAGGAAAAATACCAAATTGGGCAACTACTTCGGTCTTTTTTTTGACAAGTTTTGTGCTCAAGTTATTAAAATGTGCTTTGCAGTTGTAGATCGGATGTTTTCTTCCAATATGGGTTTCGGTATAAATCCGGAAGCACCCGGTTCATGGGTGATAGGGGTTAAAAACCCTGAAATGTCAGGCGATGGGCGAGACAATTGTCTGAATTTGGTTATAAAATCACTCTTTGCTAGGGTTTGCTTTTTTCCGCTACATCGATCCGCTTTCTAACTACTGATCATCCCCCTCTACATCATTGATCATTCTCTTTTAGATATATGATTTCTATAAGTTCTTGAAGGTATATCCGGCATGAAGTAAAGTCTATATCAAAGCATTTTAATGTGGTCTTAACAAGTTGCAAGATATTTAAGTTCACTAATAAAAAAAAGATTGTAGGATATCCTTCTTTTACATATTGAGTAATTTTGGCTACACATGTGAGGAAATATACCAAATTGGTTTACCAAACAAAGATTGTAGGTTATCTATTATTCTTTACGTGATTATTGACGAAACTTCATAGTCAAACCTGTATTATTTTTAATCTTTAATATTTATTCACACTTTCCATAAGACTATTATTGGGAGTCATTTTTGTGGTTACAATTCGATTAAATCAGTATTTCCAAGCAAAATACTGTCCCAAATTTCTCTTCCGAATATGGTCCGCTAGTTCGAAATTGTAGCGCTTATAAACGTTATTGTTAGACATTACATTAGGATAATACTATTGAGACCAGATGTAGTGATCTATTTAGATAAAGCGAAGAAGGTGCATCTGAATGAGGAGAACTTTGCTGATCAAGAGAAAATAAGATAAGGAGATATCAGCAGCTGACAGAAGAGATAGAAGCCAACGGATGGGCTTGCAAGTTCCAGACAGTAGAATTTGGAGTTCGAGTCATTTACAACTGCAGCCTCCAAACCTTTATGAACCACCTGAACGTAAACACTAAAGAGAATAAGGCCTGCATGAAGATCGCTGAAATTAGCATGAAGGCACCATACACCATCTATCTGTCCAGAAACACCATTATTTGGACAGATGATTGGGAGTTAGGCCCATAAAACATGTTTGATACCGCTATGAACCTGTCATAAGCCGGGGACTACCATGGAAGTGATATTGCTGTGTCGCTGAAAGACCCTACTACCATTCAAAGATGTACCTTATCACGCCAAGCAGTTAAATGCTTGTAGGTGAATACTGGATATGCAATTATATAGTTGAACTACTGTATAATACTCCATTCAAAATAGATTTAAGATGACGTTAATGTACATTGTACAACATCCGCATCCACATCGTTTATCTGTAATCAAAAAGTTACGCTTTGATTTCCCGATTCAAAATGTTTAATACTGTCAACCCGAATAATTTGATGATAACTTAAGATGTACCTTTGAAAGTTAGTATTACCTTGGAAATAATTATTTTTACAAACTACCGTTCAAAACTTATAGATCAAGTGATTGCCTACCCACAATTATATTACAACGTTGTGGGGTCAGTCGATATTGTTGCTAAAAATCAGGAGCAAGCGTCTTGAAACAGGATACCATAAATCTGTATAAGTTTAAATCTGTATAAGTTTTAAGTAGTTTCATTCTACTTTTAATATTATTATTGGGTCGTTTACGTTTAAATTATATTTGGCCATTTTATAGCCTCCCCCTCAAAAATCCCACAATTACTCAATATGTAAAAGAAGGATATCCTACAATCTCTGTTTTATTAATGAACTTGAATATCTTGCAACTTGTTAAGACCACATTAAAATGCTTTGATATAAACTTTACATCATGCCGGATGTACCTTCAAGAACTTATAGAAATCATGTATCTAAAAGAGAATGATCAATGATGTAGAGGGGGATGATCAGTAGTTAGAAAGCGGATCGATGTAGCGGAAAAAAGCAAACCCTAGCAAAGAGTGATTTTATAACCAAATTCAGACAATTGTCTCGCCCATCGCCTGACATTTCAGGATTTTTAACCCCTATCACCCATGAACCGGGTGCTTCCGGATTTATACCGAAACCCATATTGGAAGAAAACATCCGATCTACAACTGCAAAGCACATTTTAATAACTTGAGCACAAAAATTGTCAAAAAAAGACCAAAGAAGTTTTTTTAAAAAAAATTTATTTATTTTTTAGAGAGGCTGGGCCTGGTTGGCCCACGAGAGGATAGCATAAGAATGCTTTGCCTACCTCTGGGGTATGGCAGTCCTGTGGGAGGAATGAGGATGCCAGTGGAATCAAGATGTGTAATCAAGGATGATGGTAAGTGTTGTGGGGTGTGTCAAAATACCAAAGTAGTTGCCCAATTTGGTATTTTTCCTCACACTTGTAGCCAAAATGACTGATTTTTGTCAATATCTCAACAAATAAGCATTAAAGGGCTTATATTGCTTTATAAGTTGTATATAAATATGATGTTTGCGGTCATTTTAAGCTAAAATTCAAGTCTCTACGACTTTCCTAGTTCAAGTTATCAAAATTCAGTGCCATTTTTGGTTCGCTGAGAAAAAAAAACCAGTTTTTTGTCAATATCTATAAAATGAAGCACTGGAGACCTTATGTTGCTTCATAACTTGTATATAAATGTAGCCATTGCGGTAATTTTAAGCTAAAATTCAAGTCTCTATGACCTTTAGGAGCTGAAATACAAAAATCCCGTATATGCGACTGAGGGTAATTTAGAAAATTTGCCCTGTAGGGTTATGTCTAGCGACACAAATTGCGTACCTAAACGATTTTGGTTAAGAATGATCTAACAAACAACCCTGTGTTGTCAGAAATCGTGTACATCGAAGTGCACACTCAACTATTCCCTGCTACTGGAGTAACTATTCTCTCGATATATTCGGCAACACGATTTGATATCTCCGCGATAGCACCGCGTCATTTCTATAACGCGTGATTCTGGAATCAATCGTATCTACTTCACTTGTTATTCTAGCAAACTTGTTATTTTAGCAAACATTTTCAGCAAATCTCCACTCACACTTCACAGGTTCAAAATTATCATAACTGGCATTACATGTCACGAAAAATGACTAATTGAGTACAGAAACTAATCATCCAATTAGCCCAACTAACCACTCTCCCACTTATAGGTGGTAGGGATGTCCTATAACCACAACCAGGTTGATTACAATGAGAACCAGCCGAGTGCACCCCCTCCCCGTACTGTGTCCCTGATGGACGTCTCCCCCCAACCCCCTGATAAGCCCCTTCCTCCCATGCCTCCTGGTCATAACAAGGAGAAGAGCAAGTTTTTCACATACTTCCTCAAGAAACCTGGTGAGGGAATTATGCTTTTTAAACTATAATCATAATCCTTACAATCTCCTCAATTTAATTAATTAATGTAGTCAAAGGTTAGGTCAAAACTTATAAACTGTATTTGTCCCCGGTCAAATAAAAAACAAAGTGAAATGAAAATTGAACACAGAGTTTACGTAAATATACGTAATTATATGTATATAATTACGTATATGTATATAATTACGTATATTTACGTAAATAACTTGTTTTCTCCACAGGTCGTAATAAGATAGAGATTTCCAGCCCACAAGACTTTTCACATCAAATGCACGTAGGATTTGACCAAGAATCTGGAGAATTTGTTGTAAGTTTATGTCTCATCCTTTCTTCTACCAAAATTTTAAAAATTTGGTATAATAAATTATCTTTTTGTCTGAAACTAGAATATTCTAAGAATTTAGTTACGCCTTTTTATTGTTAATTAAGTATGATGATTTATATCAATCCCATTTGAATAACATTGCCATCTTGGAATTTTTTCCATTGTCATGAATACAATAAATGTGCTGAAAGTTTCAATCTTTAAACTCTGATTTATTTAAGGTGTTACCTTACAGCGGTTAGTATTTTTACCCGACTTCAACCTTGTTATTCGCCATCCGTTCATAGGATTATTTGAATTTTAAATATCTGAGATTCACTATTTACTTTTCCAGAATTTACCAAAAGAATGGGAAGTTCTTCTCAGTACATCTGCCATCAGTAAAGAAGAAACCAAGAAAAATCCCGAGGTTAGTGAAAATCTGGAGTGTTCCACAGAAATGACGACTTCATGACGTAATGAAGAATGAGATCATTCCATCGTTCATTTTCCTGTAAATTCTTTACATCTCGCCCGTTACACCGTCACCGTCATGTTTTCCGCCACATTCTCGGGTTGGGTCACTGTCAAATGAATATCTACCCTTGTTTGGGTGTGAGAAACGATTAGGTAATTAATCACGTAATCGCGTGTAATTACACTGTAATTTCAGGCTGTGTTGGATGTGTTAAACTTTGTGATGAACGAACAGCCACATTCTGGAGTCCAGCCACCTACAAAATACATGCAACATGATCACGGTAAATATACACATACACATGTCCTATCTGTTTTACTGCATATTACAAGTCATCACTGGTGATCTTTGAAAAGCCCCCCCCCCCCCCCCCCCCGCTCATCATCTGACATTCCCTATGATCATGTTCGGGATATGATCAGACCCGATATTACGAAATTATATTAACGCAACCTAAGCAATACTAAGTCTGCTTCAATTTATACAAAAGACGACGTAACAATAAAATCAGGAATGAAAAGAAGCAATTAGCAGTTTCTGTAAACTATAAACACTGTATAGAATGCTGTCTGGCTTAAAATTTTAAATATGTTGTATTTGTTTAAATAATAGTATTAAAAATACTGCATATTTGATATGGATGAGTCAAAGAAAATCAAATACTAAAATAATGGCACAAGTCCAAGAGCGTACCACCCTCCCCCTAGCGTGGGATTCAACTGAGTATCGCGGTTCCGTTCGGACATCCGGATATATATTGCCTTTCGTAGCATATCTTAAAGAGTTTTACCTCATGTAGACAAAGCCTTCCTTTTTCCAAGATAAATAAGACCACGTGATATTTCTCTATTGCCAGAATTGTGGTATGTCTGGAATGCGGGCCAATTATAGCGACGACCAAAAGCACCTCGGAATTCGTCTCTATCAAGAATTGAAGAATATACCAGTCCAGAATCTGTCCAGAATCTGTCATTAAAGATGATGCTCCTTTCTTTGGTCACAAGATCTGATTTTTCCCTAACCTTCCTTAGTTCTTCACAAAATCGTTTCTCTTTGTCATGCTTAGTATCCGTTATCCTTGGTATCTTCCGCAGAATTTAGATTTAGTGTTGCTTTATTTTGTTGATAAGTTTAGTGATTTGTTTGGTTATATTTTAGATGAATTTAACTGATGTTGGGTTGTTTGGGAAGGATATTGTATGCCCACTCCTTCGAATGTTACTTGGACAGTTATGATGAGTCTCTTAATAGTGACTGGGATTCCCGATCTGATGAGTCCGAGTCCAGTGAGTCTCAATCCAGCTCAAATCAAAACTATTTGATTTCTCAATACTTTCAACCGTGTTTGGTTTCTTGGCCTTGATATTTAGAGATTTAGAGAACACTATAAGATTCAAAATATTTATCTAGCTAGTATTTCCAATTTGAAAGGCGAGACGGGCTTATCTATAAAATACATGGTCACTTTAAAAAATGTTGAACTTCAAATTCCTTAGATTTTTTCAATATTTCAGACGACGAGGAGGAAGATAAGGATGAGAGTTCCTCGTCCCAATCAGCTGCTCCTGCTCCACCACCAAGACCAGCTTACACCAAAACCGCTAGTACTCGAGTAAGTACACATTTTATAGAAAAAGATTATGTTGTCATAGACATAATTCTTGTTATTATTAGCTCCCCTGTGCGATTTTACATATTCTGCACAACCAAACTTGTTCTAGTTTGCTTGTACTGTACTGTACTTTAGATCGTTCTAAATTTGTCCTGCGAATGTACTTGGTGCTGTCTAAAGTAAGCCAATTTGTTATACTGAAATTTCTTCCACGGCGAACGTATGGCGGTGCTAGTCGCTTCCTTATTCTAATTTATAATTCTAATTATTTAGCATGGCTGTAATTTAAATAGCCGTGTGTGCCTACTAAGGTAGCGCAATACATGCTGAGCTAAAAAAGGGAGATATTACCTAGTTACTGAATCAGTTTGGACCTAAACAGGTGTTTATGAATGAGTTAGGCGAGAGAACTCTTGTTTTATGCAGAGGGCGATTTAGCAGACAAAATTGTCCGAGCTACGTAGCGCGCGGGTTATTGCTGTTTTTCAGCAAGTGTCATTTACGCAAGGCCATTTCTTTTCGCGCATCACGTACGTTTTTTCTGTGCTTTTTGGAAGAATATCTAGTGTTACGGTATTAGTGACTGGTGCGATTATGTACACCAGTTTGTATTGTACGTCATTGCAAACAGAACATCACCAATAAGATAACGCCCTTCTTAATATGAACTGTTCTTGAATTTGACTACTATGTGCTCTATTATTTATTTTACAAGCATGTTTAAATAAAACCAATGCTACAATACCCCTGGCTGAGAAAATATTGTTCTTGATCTGGTTAGGCTTGGAACATCTGAACACGTCTAGCGCACATTAGAACGTAATGATATCTGTGTTTAGGATTTGTGTGTTATCACCAACAATTATACAACGAGCATCATCGCATTACGTTATCCTGGAGGCTGTACTAGGAGGCGTTTAAAGCTAATAGCTTGCGCGATGGGCCTTTGTTCAGTAGTGGCAAAGTTTAGCAGGTATCTAGGACCGGCCCGTGCAAAACTCACCTTTCCATCCGATTTTCAAATAACATCTCCATCCCATCTTCTGGATATTATCAAAGTTGTTATCGCTAAACGTTGCATCTATAAACTTGATACTCCCAGACGTAACTAGGTCAGACCACTGTGGAAACAATTCCGAACACTGGTTTACGTTGTTGGTTCGGTAGGTCTTCTCTGCAGTCAGGATTGCGTCATTCAACAAGTCTATTCTAATGTGTGTTGGTAGCCTACCTGCCTCTGCTATCTTCAGGAACGTATTGTACTGTTTGCAACGGACTTTCTCCGTATCGTCTCCTACCTGCAGCTTTTCTATGGTTGTGGTTATTTTACCCCCTAGGATTTTATACGCATCCTCAACATTCCCAAGCATTCCATTGTTTGTTGTGCTGTCGCTGTGAAACTGAATGAGGATCCGTATCATGAATTCCCCAGTCAGATCAGCTACTTCATTCAATGGATTCTGTTTTTCAGTTTCGAATTTTAATTCGATAACTTCTCTTTTTGGATCAAATGGCTTTCTCTCAGTCCACCCTGTAACTTCTGTCCTATCCTCTGAAGTTTTAAAGGAATGTCAATGTCTCAGTTATGTTAAAAGAATAAACACTTAAATCAAAGTGACCTTCCTTACATTAACAGAAACAATGTTTATAAATTACAAAATACCTAGTGCAATAGAGAGATTTGTCAGCAGGAGGAGACAAAGTAGGAATTGTAACGTCATCATCGTAATAATCAGACTTTTTGTTTCGGATCTTTTTCGTAACTTTTCTCTTTTGTTATCCAGTATTTGCTAAAAGTGGTCGCAATTTAATTGAAAGGTTACTCCACTGCTTCCCCATCAAACAATTCATTAAAAGTAATCCTCTGATTTAAAGTATCTGAAAGTCAATGGAAAGTGTGCGAAAAGAATGAAACGTAAAGCAACAGTGGAATCAGAATTAAAACCGATGCTCAGCGACCTGACTAGTTTATCAATTATAGCTAGCTAGCTGACAGCACGTGGCTGCCGGCTGGTGGAGCTATAATTAGTGTGGACTGAAGTGTGTGCGGTTTAAAGCTGAATGGCAGCTGGATCTGATCGGCGATATAATCTGAATGACAACAGAACTACTTGAAATTAATGAGTCCAGGTGATAAATAAGACCCCAGTTGAGCCAGTGCAAAGATAATGACCAATTACTACGATGATTACAGCTTTAATTCCGGTTTGTTATTAGTATCCAGGCAACGGTTTGAGACGGGTGGTTACTGGTTAGGTTCAATTAGATAACCTTTATTCGAACGCTTGGAACTAGAACAGAAAAAAATTGTTGTATATTTTGAAATACTCTAAAAGACCGCTGAGAGACCTGATTAATTCCAGTTTAATGACGAAGGCTGATAGGTAACAGATTTATATGTAGTTTAAGTTAACGAACTAAGGGGTCGTTCACATGTTACGTTATCAAAATTTTAGCAATTTTTACCCCTTTCCCCTCCGTAGTCAACCGTTATTAATACCCAACCCCCTCTTGACAGCAATATTACGTAATCATGGCCTGAAACCCCCCACCCCCCCCCCCCCCCCCCCCCTTTTGACTTTTTCCCTGTAAACACTTTTCTTCACGTTTGATGCTACCCTGATCATAATGAGCCGAAATCATTGTTATAATTATATCCGGCCAATCCCCTCTAAACTACTTACTTATACTATAATAGTCGGATATCCGATCAATTTCAAAATTTGTCACTATCAGAGTGAAATTGAGTGGAATTTGAATAAAAATATTGCCAAATTGTTATTAAGTTATTATTCTAGAGGGTAAAAAATAAAATGTTGATTACGTAATCAACAACCAACCCCCCTCCCTCCCCCGTAATCAACCGTAAGCATTTAGAAACCCCCTTCCCCCCTCGGCTGATTACGTAATATGTGAACGACGCCGAAGAAATCTGAGATGACGGCCCGGAAAGAAGTAGACCAGCCCTTCTAAGTGCTAAGTAGGAAGTCTCAAAGTTTCTATGTGGCTTAAATTATTTTATGTTTTCGAAGTTTTTGATACTTTGAATACTACTATGTTTCAATGACAAAAAAAGAAACACGGTTGTTGTGACGTTGGGGACTCATTGAAATGTTGACACTTCCTAAACCTACCTAACAGACCTTGCTTCACATGTTGCAATATTGTAATGCAAGGTCACTGAAATCGGTAATGTGAAACTGAGTGTCATCAGAATATATTAAAATTCATGAGCCCCGTTCAAGATAGGGAACCCTAGTCTAGCTTGTGTGAAGATAATTAGCAATCAACTATCAAGTTCGGATCACCAGCTCTTAATAGGCAGTGTCATGAGTGTCATGATTATCTTAGTAGCAATATACTCGTTAACTCGTGCAGGTGCCAATTAATTCGGACGCTTGAAAAATGTTCCAGTGACTGCAGACTTTAACTTACAGCTGCTCAAGGAACTGTTCCCATCTTGATAAATCTTAAGTTTTTCAACGATGAGACCTAAGCTTAGATGGCAGGTTAAATGGACCTCGAAATGAAAATTTAATTTTGTTGGGCACTAAACCAAAACAATTCTAAGAACATTCAGAAAGACAATCTGTTAGTCCATTAAACCAACAAATTGGCGCGCAATCATCATTTCAATCTTGGTATTTCCCAACATTATCCTAATTTTAGTAAACCGTAGACGAACAAGTTCTAACAATCTCAACTTTCCATCAGCCAACGTCAGCAGCTTTGATACAAGCGAAGGTCCCCGGTAACATGCCTCAGGGTCAAGGTGGGCGAAACATACCCAAAAAGAAGAAAAAGGTAACTTTAAAATAGATTATTCTATTTACCCAAATATTTCCGAGTTATGATCAAGTTGCACAGTTCTGATACCTTTAGTCCATTCCACTAACCGTGCCTTTCTGGTTTACTAACTCTGAAATTCTTCAGTTTTTATATTTAAAAACACTCCCATTAATCAAATAACATTCAATTCGCTAACTTCCAGGCAAAGCTCAGCGATGAAGAAGTTTTATCCTTGCTGCGAACAATTGTTAGTGTCGGTGATCCTAAGACAAAATACACTAAGTTTGAGAAAATCGGTCAAGGGTAAGTTTGATATTACAATTAATATGATGTCTGATAAACTGAAATTTATACTATTTCAATTAATAATTTATTGGATTCTTATCTTGAAACTTGATTTCACCAAGTCAATGCAGTATTTAGTACACTACCCTGGCCTTAATAACACTTCTTATCAGGGCCTCAGGTACGGTATATACTGGTGTGGAGGTATCCACAGGGCAGGAAGTCGCTATCAAAATGATGAATCTCAGTCAACAGGTCAGTCATTTGTAATCATTTTAATTTAAATCTTAGAGTTTTGGATTTTGTAGACTTCATCCTAAGAAAACTTGCGACGTGGCCCACAAAAACTTTAAAACGACACCATGATCTATCTCAAATTAATTGATAGCTTACCTGTTATCTTTTCTCAGCCTAAAAAAGATCTGATTATAAACGAGATTCTAGTGATGAAAGAGAACCGCCACCCTAACATAGTGAACTATCTGGACAGTTACTTGGTCGGTACTGACGAACTCTGGGTCGTAATGGAATATTTGGGAGGTCCGTGTTGTCGTTTTTCTGACAGTCCTAATATCACACCGAATTGTGTGATATCACACACTCCCACCACACTTCCACCACGCTCCCATATTATAAGTTCACTCACGACCATCACTATCAGCTAACCACGGTAACCACTTTTTTGAAAGCTTATGAACAAAATTTTTATCGTATCAATTCACATATGTTTTTAGAACTTTTAGAACTTTTTTAGAACTCTGCTGTAATTTTAATTTCAGTTTTATTCGTAAAACAAAGTCTACCCACAGACTTCTTATTTGTGTCCAATGTTGAGAATTTGTTGCGGACTCCGCTATAAAAATGTTAAACAATTTAAACATGTCTGCTATAAATATTTAATCTAATTCCAGGTGGACCCTTAACGGACGTAGTAACTGAAACGTGTATGACTGAAGGTCAGATAGCAGCCGTCTCAAGAGAGGTAACATTTCAACTCACAAAGTTGAGAAATTCGACGGCATAAAAAAGTACAGAAAATATGCCGAAATTTGATATGTGTAAGCTGTAAAGTGAATATTTCGCTAATTTTCCGTCCCAGGTGTTACAAGCTCTGGCATTCCTACACAAATCGCAAGTTATACACAGAGATATCAAGAGTGACAACATCCTCTTAGGCATGACTGGTGGTGTTAAATTAAGTGAGTTTACTGTTTTATTTCAAAGTTTAAGTGAGCACAATTGATGAGGCATACAAGATCCTTATTGAATTTAAACTGATGCTACTTTGCAACGAATTTTAATCCTAATTTTAATTGGTCTGAGTCGAGGGTAGCATTTCACTGATTTGTAACCACATCATCCTTCAGCCGATTTTGGTTTCTGTGCCCAAATCACGCCAGATCAAAGCAAAAGAACGACAATGGTCGGTACTCCTTATTGGATGGCACCGGAGGTGGTGACCCGAAAACAGTACGGTCCTAAGGTACGCAAAAGGGGTATCTCCGTTTAGATTGCCCCACATTATTTATACAGCTGTATTTATTATACAGCTATATTTATTACAGCTGTTTTGATTTATTGATGTTTTGTTGAATATTTTGGTGGTGTTTTACTACCGTACTGTGGCACTACTGAGTCACATCTGTGGTACTGCAACGACAAATTAATGCTGAATCAGTGCCACATCGGACATATAAACCCAGTTAACTGTTTCTAATTACTACACTAATTAACTGTTACTAATTACTATACGAACGCTTCCTCTCACAGGTTGATGTGTGGAGTTTGGGTATCATGGCTATTGAGATGATTGAGGGAGAACCACCCTACCTTAATGAGAACCCACTGAGGGTAAGAACTATTAATCTGAATACTACTGAATACTACCGAATACTACTGAATTACTCTGAATACCTGGCATACTATAGATTATCTAAAACTATTCGCCATTACCATCTTATCATTACATAATAAGATTACATCTTATCATCGACGATGATGCCCTGGATGATTAAATTCCATCAGTCAAACTAAATCTTGCATTCCAGGCGTTATATCTGATAGCAACGAACGGAACTCCGGAGATTTATAACCCTGAGCGACTATCCTCCGTGTTTAGAGATTTCCTGGCCAAGTGCCTGGAAATGGATGTCGAAAAACGCGGGAGTGCTAGTAAGTGTACTTTTAAAAGTTTTCTTATGATTTTCATGGTTCTGTAATCAGTATCGCCAAATCATGACGATTTCTCTACTGTTTCATTCTTTTCCTCCAGGAATGTTGAGGGGGTTTGTTTGGTGTATCTAATATTTAACCTCCTGGAAACCTTTTTTTACGATGTAGAATAGTCCTATAAAATAGGCGCACATGGGCGAAGAAGCCGATTGTTTAATGTTTAGTCTAAAGTTTAGACTCTAAACGGCCGTGTAACTGATTGATTTTTTTCAGGTGAAATGTTGCAGCATCCCTTCTTGAGGAAGGCAGCACCCTTATCAAGTTTAGTTCCCCTTATCCACGCCGCTAAAGAAGCAGCCAAACACTAAAAACACTGCTCACGTGACCCATCACATGGTCACGCACAATGGTATGACGTCACGCTACAAGCCGTGACGTCACGTTTTATTGCACGGCGATTGAAACTCTTGGATGGACTTGTGGTTTTACGATTACGTTGATTTGTGTTAACCGCCCCTTTTTTTGATACATTTGCGAATTTCGAGGTGAAAGTATAGCCTTGTTGGTAGGTATATTTCAAATCCAGTGCTTCTTTTGATCTTTTTAAACATTCCTCGCGCGCTCTTTCCAAATTTAAACGCTAGATTTAGGTTTTAATATTGCTTTTTCATTTACCAATTTAAACCAAGTTTTTAGGCTGTAAAAATGATATAAAAACAGCTGAAGTTAATAATTTTTCGCTCAAATTAGATGCATTTAAAATGTTATAGATATAATAAGATTTATACATTATTATTATGAGATGTATATTACTACTTTGATGTAAAGATGTGTCATAATTTTTTGCCATGCCATAATTTGACGTTAAATTGTTGAAGTGTTTAATTTTTGTTCGATTGGTTTGGCGTCTTACAGTTACACTATTCATCATATCAACAGCATTATCTTCAATCTTCTTTTATCATGCATAATATATGTACATATTTAGAATTTCTAAATCCACCAGTTCAAGAATGAAGAAACTTCTTACATTTTAAGATATGCGTCTCATTTAACACGGATCAACTTCTTCTTTTTATACAAATTATGGACGCTGAAAAAAGAATAAATACATCATTAATTTTGTGTATTGACGGTTTACATCTTTTTCTTATGATTATTATGACTTAAAAGTTTTTTATAATCCGACCTCAAGATTTTCGATTCAAGCAATAGAGAGAAACGATCGAAGAATGCTTTTTAGTTTTCCTGAATGTAATGTCTTATTTTTTGCCTAAGAAGTTAGGGAAAAAAATGTAATTCTTATTGATTTGGCAGGTAATTTCCTTTCTCGTTCATCTTCTTCTTTGTTTAGAATTTGCCGCCTTCTCTAGATTTTCTCCGCCACTTACTGGTACTACATATATTTCTAGGTGTTGTGCAGAATGGCATTTTATACTGGGTCCTGGATAATTTTATGGCTGGATATACTATTGCATTCGATGATATTCATACAAATTTTAACTATTGTTTTTACAAGTTCTTTGTTTCATTTTGAAATTTATGATAACGATCAACTAAAAAGTCGGTCAATTATATTTTAATAGTGTGTTTCTGGTTATACAAAGTGCTCTACTAAAATTAGGAGCTATTCACAAAGCGGTACAAAGTAAACGACCAACGTAATCGTCCAACTTTAAATTTCATGTGTGATCAATCGTCAGGGACATAAATACAATAATAATAAGACATTGCAGACTGAACCACTTTCAATCGATACGATTGAACCCTCATATATTTCTGTCAAAGGCCAAGTCTTTGGGTCTTTACCCTGCAGCACACTTAATGCTTAAATTCAAAGGTCTTTACAGGATACTGATTGTAGTTCCCGTACAGTCCCCATTTTATGCCGTACTGGTCCGGCTAATCTTCTTCATTGTCGGCCTTGATCGGCCCGTTAGAGCCGGCTTCGTCCAGCCAGTCATCGACCATGTTGATGATGCAGCTGTCGACTGGCGACTGGCGACTGGCATAATGCCCACATGTCTACTACCACAGATACTGATAGAGCTTCCAATCTGCATCATTGGGAATGGGATAATTCTGCGGAAGTAGTCCGGGAGCTAGGCTTCAACCGTCATCAATCGATGTTGTGAAAGGCATCGCAGGACAAGTTAACTGCGGAAATGGTCCGGGAGCTAGGCTTCAACCGTCATCAATCGATGTTGTGAAAGGCATCGCAGGACAAGTTAACTGCGGAAGTAGTCCGGGAGCTAGGCTTCAACCGTCATCAATCGATGTTGTGAAAGGCATCGCAGGACAAGTTAACTGCGGAAATGGTCCGGGAGCTAGGCTTCAACCGGAGGTATCGAGGGTCTTTTTTGCCTGGGGGAAACGTTAAGGGTTAAAATCAATTTTTTTCTCCATTTTTTCTCCATCTATAGTGATAAAAAATGCAAGCCAAATTTCAGGTATACACTTAAAGAATATTATGTAAACTTACTCAGATATTGCAGACTGAACCACTTTCAGTAGAAATGATTGAACCCTCGTCTATTTCAACCAAAGGCCAAGTCTTTGGGTCTTTACCCTGTAGACATTTAAACTCGAAAGACTTAACGGGATACTTATCGTAGTTCCCGTAAAGTTTCCAGTTAATTCCGTATTGGTCCGGTTTATTGATCGACCCTTCAGAAATGGCGTTATCCGTCCAATTGTCCACCATATTTATGACACACGAATCCACTGGTGGATTAAGACTCCATCTAGCCGCTAGAGAAGGAGTGGACGATTGGCCCATCTCATCCAAAATACTATAGAGCGTCTTGTCGATGCTTTTTACAGAGTCTTCTACCGTCTTCTTTAACTCCAAAATCTCAGTGTTGTTTTTTAAAAACTTTCTGCTGAGTTGCAGGATTTTGGCATACAAGCTGATAAATAGTATCGAACTTATAATCAGTGTGACGAACCACAATGCCAACAAGTCGAACGATTGGGATAAAGCTGTCATCGTTCGGATGGTGTCGTTGGAGTTTTGAAAATCGAGTACTCGAAGTCTCAAGAATTGAATTCTTATCCAGTGTGAGTCAAAGTTGTATTTAAGAAAACTGACACCGTGCAACCTTCTCCAGGGTAAATTAAGCAGCGCCCACGTGTAAAACGTGTTTCGGACGCGCAACCTGGAGTTGTCGCCATGGTCACAGGAGTCTGCGGAGGATCGCGCAATTCAATTTTCAGGACGGTCGTGCTATCGCGGTACCCAATACTCCAAACATTCCTATCACCAATGAAAGAAACGTAATGAGAGCTGGGCCTACTCATAGGCCAAATGTTATGAATTATCTATATCCCCATATTTACGTCTTCAGTTTACAAATCAGTGAAACACAAACATACTATGCGGGGTACTACAGACCCCCTCAAAGTCCTTTACAACGTTACTGCCAGGTTACATAGCAGTTACAGGGTGAGAATCCTTGTCACGTTTTTGGTCAGCTTCGCCGGGGCTCATGTCTTTCCTCGAGGGAGCATTAGTGTCTACAGAAAAACTGACAAATCCTAGCGAAGTCCAATCCGAACCACATCTTCCATCAGAGGTGGTGCTGGGTCAGCTGGTTACTGAACGGATTGGCCTGGAGAATGGCATAGTCCTATTATTCTCAAGTTAACCATAGAGGGGGTCAGGCATTGACGGATGTTACTCGTCTAAATTTCTTCGAAGTAGCGCGCGCCGCTTTCTTCCCGACGGCACGAGCTACGAAGTAGCGCGCGCCGGGCCAGATCATTAACAATGGTCAAGGTCAGGCACTGTACGCTCACGGCTGGTTCTTGGAGCCAACACTCTCAGCCCCACAGAAGTGGGAGCACTGTCGGTGGTGGCACACCCAGAAAACGGACAGTGTCTCTCCTTCTCTCTTCTTGGACCTGCATTGCTGCTGGCGAGTCAGCCAGTAGCAATGCAGCATCTCACTCACTCAATCACATCAGCAGTTCAAACACAGTACAGAGACTGGCACTCTCTACTCCGCCACGGAAAGTGGACAAAAATAACCCATCCAGTCATGGAAAAATGACATTATTGAACCAGCCGCAAAACCATGTTAAACCACGGAATATTACTAAAACTCCAAAGCGAGCGCTCTACAACAGGAAGAATCTGGAAAGCGTCAACACAAACCAGTATAGAAAGGACCAAAATCAGCACTCCACGAGAGCGCGAGACAGCCGCGCGCAGCATAACAAAACAATCTGAAACAAAGGGACGTCAAAAGTTAAATACACCAAAGATAAACCAAAGGAACATCACACCAGGGTTCGAGTTTAATATCATCTCAACTCGATCCTCAAAAATACTAAAAGCACGACACAACCTCGAGGATCACCAGGGCAGGCCCGCTAGCATAATGCGGTGGTAGTTCCTCGAAGTAACGCACTACCTTTTCCGGGAGGGTGTTTCGACACCTGACTCCAGACGGGTTCTATGGAGTCTCTCGATGACGGATCATTATGGCAGATAACCTTAGGGTCATCGCCGATCCACCGGGTCATAACTATGTTATGTCTTTTGGACGTACCGGGCTCTGCGAACCCCATGCCAAGCAGAGCAAAAGGTACAAAGCCTGCAGTCCAAAGGAGCTCCATCAGACGTTAGCCACAAGGCGGACGTAGCCTCCTTGCTAATCCGGGGAGGTAGAGTGAGCGCCCTCGACAAAAAAAAAAAAAAAAAAAAAAAAAGGTTACATAGCACTGAAAGTGAAAATCAATATCATCAGAAATTCAAATTCAAAGCAATGCCGTCATAGTATTACAAAGCCCCAAAAAATGTTTTAAATACCAAGTAGAACTTATCTGTTATGACTTTATGACTTAGCAATAGCTTTGCAGTTCGGATCTCGGAGGCCTGGATGCTTAGCTGGAGCGGGGAGCCAGTTTTAACCATTAACCATTTTCATGAAATTGGTAGAGGACTTTGTTGTTTGTTCAATTCTATTGTTTTACGTGGAAGCGTAATACATAAGTACATATAACGGGTTACCTGTTTTCTTGCCTTGTCCAATATCATCTTGATCTGGGTTACCTTTTTCTTGCCTTGTCCAATGTCATCTTGATCTGGGTTATCTGTTTTCTTGCCTTGTCCAATGTCATCTTCATCTGGGTTATCTGTTTTCTTGCCTTGTCCAATGTCCTCGTGATCTGAGTTATCTGTTCTCTTGCCGTGTCCAATGTCATCTTGATCTGGGTTACCTGTTTTCTTGCCTTGTCCAATGTCCTCTTGATCTGAGTTATCTGTTCTCTTGCCTTGTCCAATGTCATCTTGATCTGGGTTATCTGTTCTCTTGCCTTGTCCAATGTCCTCTTGATCTGGGTTATCTGTTTTCTTGCCTTGTCCAATGTCATCTTGATCTGGGTTATCTGTTTTCTTGCCTTGTCCAATGTCCTCTTGATCTGGGTTATCTGTTTTCTTGCCTTGTCCAATGTCATCTTGATCTGAGTTATCTGTTTTCTTGCCTTGCCCAATGTCATCTTGATCTGGGTTATCTGTTTTCTTGCCTTGTCCAATGTCATCTTGACCTGGGTTATCTGTTTTCTTGCCTTGTCCAATGTCATCTTGATCTGGGTTATCTGTTTTCTTGCCTTGTCCAATGTCATCTTTATCTGGGTTACCTGTTTTCTTGCCTTGTCCAATGTCATCTTGATCTGGGTTATCTGTTTTCTTGCCTTGTCCAATGTCATCTTGATCTGGGTTATCTGTTTTCTTGCCTTGTCCAATGTCATCTTTATCTGGGTTACCTGTTTTCTTGCCTTGTCCAATGTCATCTTGATCTGGGTTATCTTTTCTCTTGCCTTGTCCAATGTCATCTTGATCTGGGTTACCTGTTCTCTTGCCTTGTCCAATGTCATCTTGATCTGGGTTACCTGTTTTCTTGCCTTGTCCAATATCATCTTGATCTGGGTTACCTGTTTTCTTGCCGTGCCCAATATCATCTTGCACAGCTTGATCTGAGTTACCTGTTTTCTTGCCGTGTCCAATATCATCTTGCACAGCTTGATCTGAGTTACCTGTTTTCTTGCCTTGTCCAATGTCATCTTGATCTGGGTTACCTGTTTTCTTGCCTTGTCCAATGTCATCTTGATCTGGGTTACCTGTTTTCTTGCCTTGTCCAATGTCATCTTGATCTGGGTTACCTGTTTTCTTGCCTTGTCCAATGTCATCTTGATCTGGGTTACCTGTTTTCTTGCCTTGTCCAATGTCATCTTGACCTGGGTTACCTGTTTTCTTGCCGTGTCCAATATCATCTTGCACAGCTTGATCTGGGTTATCTGTTTTCTTGCCTTGTCCAATGTCATCTTGATCTGGGTTACCTGTTTTCTTGCCTTGTCCAATGTCATCTTGATCTGGGTTATCTGTTTTCTTGCCTTGTCCAATGTCATCTTGATCTGGGTTATCTGTTTTCTTGTCTTGTCCAATGTCATCTTGATCTGGGTTACCTGTTTTCTTGCCGTGCCCAATATCATCTTGATCTGGGTTACCTGTTTTCTTGCCTTGTCCAATGTCATCTTGATCTGGGTTACCTGTTTTCTTGCCTTGTCCAATGTCATCTTGACCTGGGTTACCTGTTTTCTTGCCGTGTCCAATATCATCTTGCACAGCTTGATCTGGGTTATCTGTTTTCTTGCCTTGTCCAATGTCATCTTGATCTGGGTTACCTGTTTTCTTGCCTTGTCCAATGTCATCTTGATCTGGGTTATTTGTTTTCTTGCCTTGTCCAATGTCATCTTGATCTGGGTTATCTGTTTTCTTGCCTTGTCCAATGTCATCTTGATCTGGGTTATCTGTTTTCTTGCCTTGTCCAATGTCATCTTGATCTGGGTTATCTGTTTTCTTGCCTTGTCCAATGTCATCTTGATCTGGGTTATCTGTTTTCTTGTCTTGTCCAATGTCATCTTGATCTGGGTTACCTGTTTTCTTGCCGTGTCCAATGTCATCTTGATCTGGGTTATCTGTTTTCTTGCCTTGTCCAATGTCATCTTGATCTGGGTTATCTGTTTTCTTGCCTTGTCCAATGTCATCTTGATCTGGGTTATCTGTTTTCTTGCCTTGTCCAATGTCATCTTGATCTGGGTTATCTGTTTTCTTGTCTTGTCCAATGTCATCTTGATCTGGGTTACCTGTTTTCTTGCCTTGTCCAATGTCATCTTGATCTGGGTTACCTGTTTTCTTGCCTTGTCCAATGTCATCTTGATCTGGGTTACCTGTTTTCTTGCCGTGTCCAATATCATCTTGCACAGCTTGATCTGGGTTATCTGTTTTCTTGCCTTGTCCAATGTCATCTTGATCTGGGTTATCTGTTTTCTTGTCTTGTCCAATGTCATCTTGATCTGGGTTACCTGTTTTCTTGCCGTGTCCAATGTCATCTTGATCTGGGTTATCTGTTTTCTTGCCTTGTCCAATGTCATCTTGATCTGGGTTATCTGTTTTCTTGCCTTGTCCAATGTCATCTTGATCTGGGTTACCTGTTTTCTTGCCTTGTCCAATGTCATCTTGATCTGGGTTACCTGTTTTCTTGCCTTGTCCAATGTCATCTTGATCTGGGTTACCTGTTTTCTTGCCTTGTCCAATGTCATCTTGATCTGGGTTACCTGTTTTCTTGCCTTGTCCAATGTCATCTTGATCTGGGTTACCTGTTTTCTTGCCTTGTCCAATGTCATCTTGACCTGGGTTACCTGTTTTCTTGCCGTGTCCAATATCATCTTGCACAGCTTGATCTGGGTTATCTGTTTTCTTGCCTTGTCCAATGTCATCTTGATCTGGGTTACCTGTTTTCTTGCCTTGTCCAATGTCATCTTGATCTGGGTTATCTGTTTTCTTGCCTTGTCCAATGTCATCTTGATCTGGGTTACCTGTTTTCTTGCCTTGTCCAATATCATCTTGATCTGGGTTACCTGTTTTCTTGCCGTGCCCAATATCATCTTGCACAGCTTGATCTGAGTTACCTGTTTTCTTGCCGTGTCCAATATCATCTTGCACAGCTTGATCTGAGTTACCTGTTTTCTTGCCTTGTCCAATGTCATCTTGATCTGGGTTACCTGTTTTCTTGCCTTGTCCAATGTCATCTTGATCTGGGTTACCTGTTTTCTTGCCTTGTCCAATGTCATCTTGATCTGGGTTACCTGTTTTCTTGCCTTGTCCAATGTCATCTTGATCTGGGTTACCTGTTTTCTTGCCTTGTCCAATGTCATCTTGACCTGGGTTACCTGTTTTCTTGCCGTGTCCAATATCATCTTGCACAGCTTGATCTGGGTTATCTGTTTTCTTGCCTTGTCCAATGTCATCTTGATCTGGGTTACCTGTTTTCTTGCCTTGTCCAATGTCATCTTGATCTGGGTTATCTGTTTTCTTGCCTTGTCCAATGTCATCTTGACCTGGGTTATCTGTTTTCTTGCCTTGTCCAATGTCATCTTGATCTGGGTTATCTGTTTTCTTGCCTTGTCCAATATCATCTTGATCTGGGTTACCTGTTTTCTTGCCGTGCCCAATATCATCTTGCACAGCTTGATCTGAGTTACCTGTTTTCTTGCCGTGTCCAATATCATCTTGCACAGCTTGATCTGAGTTACCTGTTTTCTTGCCTTGTCCAATGTCATCTTGATCTGGGTTACCTGTTTTCTTGCCTTGTCCAATGTCATCTTGATCTGGGTTACCTGTTTTCTTGCCTTGTCCAATGTCATCTTGATCTGGGTTACCTGTTTTCTTGCCTTGTCCAATGTCATCTTGATCTGGGTTACCTGTTTTCTTGCCTTGTCCAATGTCATCTTGACCTGGGTTACCTGTTTTCTTGCCGTGTCCAATATCATCTTGCACAGCTTGATCTGGGTTATCTGTTTTCTTGCCTTGTCCAATGTCATCTTGATCTGGGTTACCTGTTTTCTTGCCTTGTCCAATGTCATCTTGATCTGGGTTATCTGTTTTCTTGCCTTGTCCAATGTCATCTTGACCTGGGTTATCTGTTTTCTTGCCTTGTCCAATGTCATCTTGACCTGGGTTATCTGTTCTCTTGCCTTGTCCAATGTCCTCTTGATCTGGGTTTTCTGTTTTCTTGCCTTGTCCAATATCATCTTGATCTGAGTTATCTGTTCTCTTGCTTTGCTCAATGTCATCTTGATCTGGGTTACCTGTTTTCTTGCCTTGTCCAATGTCATCTTGATCTGGGTTACCTGTTTTCTTGCCTTGTCCAATGTCATCTTGACCTGGGTTATCTGTTCTCTTGCCTTGTCCAATGTCCTCTTGATCTGGGTTTTCTGTTTTCTTGCCTTGTCCAATGTCCTCTTGATCTGGGTTACCTGTTTTCTTGCCTTGTCCAATGTCATCTTGATCTGGGTTACCTGTTTTCTTGCCTTGTCCAATGTCATCTTGCACATCTTGATCTGGGTTATCAGTTTTCTGGCCTCGTTCAATGTGAATTTGCACATTTTGAACTGGTTTATCAGTTTTTCTACCTTGTTCAATGTCATTTTGATATGGGCTATCGGTTTTCTTGCCTTGTTCAACGTTATCTCGCATATTTTGAACTGGGTCTTGTTCGATGTCATTTTGAACTGGGTTATCAGTTTTCTTACCAACGTTATTTACCACATTCTGCACATTGTTTTCCAATTTCCTGGTGAGTGTTTTTACGTGTATCCCTGTGGTAGGGTGACCAATACCATCACCCGGATCAGCAGGCACTTCTTGAGCACACTTTGGTTTCAGAGTTGTTTCCAACCACTTAAACAGTGAACTTGCAGAATTCGCAACAAAATCGTTGTACAGTAAAGGGTTGATAACCGAGTTTATTGGTAGAAATATTATTGAAATGATTGGGTACCAGGGTGTTGCGTCGATAACTTCACTGGAATGAAGGCAGCATGCGATGACAATAGGTAACCAACAGAAGAAATCTGTCGCAATGATCAGTGATATTTTTTGTTGTAGTTTTCTGTTCTTGTTTCCGATTTTCTGGCTGGCTGCATTAGCTGTAATGTTGATGTATATGTAAGATATTGAGATGATAATAAAACAGAGCATGTTCATCGCCAGGATTGTCCAAGTATAAAATCTTTGTGGGTCATTAGGTTTAACAAAAAATTTGAAGAGGCAAACACCATCATTTCCATAAAACTCGAGTTTCTTTCGGCCGAGAACGTCACCTCCATAATCATTGGAAAACATTCCATCAATGAGATCGTTTATAATTCTCCAGCTGAGAGTCCCAGATTTTATTTTCCCGTAGTATTCTTGTAATATACCAAGATGAGCCTCTTTGCCTGGTGCTCCTATAAACAATCTTACTGAAGGTTTATACGTCATACCATTCACAAAGAAATCCTCAAAATAATGGACCAAAGGGACCACTGCTACGGTCACTGATATCAATAAAATCGCTGCCATCACCGAAACTATCTGTAGAATTGCTATATTTTTAACTTTCCTCCTCGACGTGTTTTTCTTGTTGACCCCGGCTACTCGTACTGTACTGAGAAAAGTCATGGAAAGTAATGACATCTGGCTTCCAACCGTGCTGATAACGCCAATAACTGAGCAACCAAAGCTTGACAGCCAAACGAGCTGGTTGGAGCAGTAATTTGCCCCGTACACAATCGTTTCGTTGACAGCCAACCACAGCAAATGTACTCCCATGAGGAAGTCTCCAACGGATATCAGAAACACCAAGAGCCTGTTCTTCATAACCGTAGTGTTCTTGTCTTCGGCGGCAAACCAAGTTCGACAAATGGTCACTAGATTGAAAAGGACCGCTAAAATCCCCAACAACCAGCACATCAACTTGAGGAAGGTTTGTTGAACGATATTTTTACCGCAGTCCGAGTTACATTCATCCGAGAAGTCCAGGCAGTCCACTGTTCCATCACATTTCTCAGTTACTGGAATGAACCGCTCTTTTGAGTGACAGCGAAACACATTGGTACAGGTCTCTTCGTCAGAACCATCTCCACAGTCGTCCACAACGTTGCAAACTTTGTTTTGGGTTATACAAAGGCTGTTGCGACATACAAAGAGATCGTTGGTGTAACCGTGTCTTGTTTTCGTGACAAATGTGAGAAAGGAGTTTTGTGCCACTGTGTAGACCCGGTTTGGGTATTGCTGAGGGCAAGCGTCGGATCGATAGGTATCCTTTAATGGACAAGTAGAATTTTCACAACGGCCTGAACAGCTCAAAATTAAATAGAGTTCACCAAATGTGTAGTCACAGTTAAACGTTTTATTAGGATAAACGACTGTGATATCTGAATTTACTCCAAAAACCTCCTGTTTTGTTAAATTCACCTCCTTCCTCACACACTTTTCGGAAATTTTCTGTATTTCTGTGAGTCCTTGCAAGCAGTACATGAGGCGCTTTTCACTTTTCCCAAACTTGACTGTGGTTAAAACTTTGTCAAAGGTAAGAGTCATCTCATGAGATTTTTGACAAGCTCTTTTCTCTCGACCACAAGCATCTTTGCCATCACAAAGGTTCTGAAACTCAACATATCTATTTTCTTGTCCCAGTTCGCACAGGAAAACCTCATCGCAAGCAGGATTTGTTTTGGTAATGAATCGTTTTGTTGACCCAAAGCCGCAAACTGGCCAGCTATCATCCTCATCAATACCATTTATGCAATCTTTCACGCCATCTTGAAGCCATGCCAGAGGAATTCTGAGAGGTTGTTCATGTCTGTAAGCTCTATGACACGTTCGCTGCGTGAGGGAGTTGCAAGATTTTAGATCCTCATCTTCATTATTCAGGCAATCTTTTATGCCGTCACAGAGCCTGTGTTTGTGAATAAAACACGTCGGTGAAACTGATTCACATACCTGAGAGATCACATTATACGAAACAAGATTATTGTGTGTTTTATTTCAATTATAGAAATTTTGTTTACACGAATCTAAAAAAGTTATAGTGATATTAATATACATATAATCTTAAACAATAATCTCAAATGTGTGTGTGTCTGATCGTCTGTCTGTCTGTCTGTCTGTCTGTCTGTCTGTCTGTCTGTGCGTGTGTAATTTCCGGTCGGTTATATTAAAAAAAGGTAAGAGTTACGGGACTCTTTTTCGGTATAGTGCCAACATTGCAACAAAACTCTGACGAAGCCCATAAGCAAATTTTATGTAAGTCGGCCGGTGGTAAGTGGTTTAATTGATGGTTTTGTACCACAAATGTTACATAAAATGGCTTGAGCAGCTTAATCAAGAAAAAGGTAAGAGTTACGGGGCTCGCTCTCTCTCCCATTACTGTATATTATGTAGCGTATATATTACACTGTCGTGTTATACTTTAAACTTATTAGGGGAGGAATCGCTCTTAGCGGTCTGTTTGGACTGTAGAGAGAGTTCATACTTTCATACGACAATGTAATGCATGTTTTCAAATATGCGGGTGTGGTGCGGAGTTAATAAGGGTTAATTTCTATTGATTATTGTTAATATTATTTTTTAAGGATACTATTGGATACGTGAGGGCACTCCGTATAGAATTTCTCGCATAATCCGGGTTTTGACTCAGCGGGTAATTAATCCTACCCTTTTTAACTGCGGCAGTGAAACCCCGGCCGAAGTATAATATAATAATATAATAATATAATAATATAATAATATAATAATATAATAATATAATGATATAATAATATAATAATATAATAATATAATAATATAATAATATAATAATATAATAATATAATGATATAATGATATAATAATATAATAATATAATAATATAATAATATAATAATATAATAATATAATGATATAATAATATAATAATATAATAATATAATAATATAATGATATAATAATATAATAATATAATAATATAATAATATAATGATATAATAATATAATAATATAATAATATAATAATATAATGATATAATAATATAATAATATAATGATATAATAATATAATAATATAATAATATAATAATATAATGATATAATAATATAATGATATAATAATATAATAATATAATAATATAATAATATAATAATATAATAATATAATAATATAATAATATAATGATATAATAATATAATAATATAATAATATAATGATATAATGATATAATAATATAATAATATAATAATATAATGATATAATAATATAATAATATAATAATGTAATGATATAATAATATAATAATATAATGATATAATAATATAATAATATAATGATATAATGATATAATGATATAATAATATAATAATATAATGATATAATGATATAATGATACAATAATATAATAATATAATGATATAATGATATAATGATATAATAATATAATAATATAATGATATAATGATATAATAATATAATAATATAATAATATAATGATATAATGATATAATAATATAATAATATAATGATATAATGATATAATAATATAATAATATAATGATATAATGATATAATAATATAATGATATAATGATATAATGATATAATGATATAATAATATAATAATATAATGATATAATAATATAATAATATAATAATATAATAATATAATGATATAATAATATAATAATATAATAATATAATAATATAATAATATAATAATATAATAATATAATGATATAATGATATAATAATATAATGATATAATGATATAATAATATAATAATATAATAATATAATAATATAATAATATAATGATATAATAATATAATAATATAATGATATAATAATATAATAATATAATAATATAATAATATAATAATATAATGATATAATAATATAATAATATAATAATATAATAATATAATAATATAATGATATAATAATATAATAATATAATAATATAATAATATAATGATATAATAATATAATAATATAATGATATAATGATATAATAATATAATGATATAATGATATAATAATATAATAATATAATAATATAATAATATAATAATATAATGATATAATAATATAATAATATAATGATATAATAATATAATGATATAATGATATAATAATATAATAATATAATAATATAATAATATAATGATATAATGATATAATAATATAATAATATAATGATATAATAATATAATGATATAATAATATAATAATATAATGATATAATGATATAATAATATAATGATATAATAATATAATAATATAATGATATAATAATATAATAATATAATGATATAATAATATAATAATATAATGATATAATGATATAATCATATAATGATATAATAATATAATAATATAATGATATAATGATATAATGATATAATAATATAATGATATAATGATATAATAATATAATAATATAATGATATAATGATATAATGATATAATGATATAATAATATAATAATATAATGATATAATGATATAATGATATAATAATATAATGATATAATAATATAATAATATAATGATATAATGATATAATAATATAATGATATAATGATATAATGATATAATAATATAATAATATAATAATATAATGATATAATAATATAATAATATAATAATATAATAATATAATAATATAATAATATAATAATATAATAATATAATAATATAATAATATAATAATATAATAATATAATAATATAATAATATAATAATATAATAATATAATAATATAATAATATAATAATATAATAATATAATAATATAATAATATAATAATATAATAATATAATAATATAATAATATAATAATATAATAATATAATAATATAATAATATAATAATATAATAATATAATAATATAATAATATAATAATATAATAATATAATAATATAATAATATAATAATATAATAATATAATAATATAATAATATAATAATATAATAATATAATAATATAATAATATAATAATATAATAATATAATAATATAATAATATAATAATATAATAATATAATAATATAATAATATAATAATATAATAATATAATAATATAATAATATAATAATATAATAATATAATAATATAATAATATAATAATATAATAATATAATAATATAATAATATAATAATATAATAATATAATAATATAATAATAATAATATAATAATATAATAATATAATAATATAATAATATAATAATATAATAATATAATAATATAATAATATAATAATATAATAATATAATAATATAATAATATAATAATATAATAATATAATAATATAATAATATAATAATATAATAATATAATAATATAATAATATAATAATATAATAATATAATAATATAATAATATAATAATATAATAATATAATAATATAATAATATAATAATATAATAATATAATAATATAATAATATAATAATATAATAATATAATAAT